TATATCCAAGTTACCCTAATCATATTAAGGATTTTATTATTTCAAATTAATTAAATCTATATTTAATTAATTGGAATTTAATAATCCTTTTATATTCGGGATTATTAAAACATATACTTAATTAACTCTAGATATATTTTAGTATCGTACAATAAATGGTACATCTTTGCTCGTTTCAATCCTAAGGTGTGACCCTGTAGGTTCTTGTAACGTTAGCAGTAATTATTAGAACAATTCTAATATTACATACAATGAGTGACATCTAGCAATATATCATTGTCACCTATGTTACAAGAAACTATTATTCGACATATCATCTTGGTGATTAACTCTTTTATGTATTACATCCTTATGTCATTTATATCTAGAATAGGCACAAGTCTTGGAATAGTCACACTTGTATAGCCCATCTATTGTTTCTTGATATCTAGAGTAGACTTTAATTAACGAATAGTTTATGATATCTCATATCAACTTATTCGAGCATGACCATGTGTTTCTAGTCTTACTCAATCAAGTGGCCTGTGATATATTTCCTATTATGTAGGAAGGACAAATCCTATTTTAATCATACACACGCACTACATATATTGAGATATATTCAATAACAGTCTTTATAGAGCAACCAGTTACGGAGCTTGTTTAGCTGCATCAAAACATACAACAATATATGTTGGGATAGTATTGATCTCAAGTCTGAGGATCATACATATAGTCATCAACATGAGCAATGTTATGACTGTCACATAATAATCCAAGACATATGCTCATGGTGGGTCAATCTAATACATTGTTCTCTAACAATATAATCATGTATCAATTCTAACATCTCTATGTCAATGACAACTTGTTGTCATCAATCAATAACATGTTAGTCTTAAGAGTATTATTATTGTCCATGCCCATAATAATACTTGACTAGGGATCTTTTAATAATAACAATTATGTCATTATATGTACTTTATTATCTTCCAGTTTATGTTAAACACATATATATAACTAAAAATAATAGCGGCAATGCCTTTATTCAATAAAATCGGTAAATAAAAGTATTATTGCAATCATCATATGATTGGTCTTTGGGCATACTCTAATAATCTCCCACTAGCATTAAGACCAATCACTCACATATCTAATACCGAGTGACTCAGTGTGACGATCATGCCTCTGCTATGTAAGAGGCTTCTTCAAGGGATCAACAATGTTGTCATCCATGTGTACTCTACATATTTCCACATCTCCTCGATCAATGATCTCTCGAATGAGATGAAAGCGCCAGAGAATATGTTTGGATCGTTGATGAGATCTAGGTTCATTTGCTTGTGCAATGGCTCCATTATTGTCACAACGGAGTTCTACAACATCTGATATGCTTGGAACAACCCCTAATCCCATTATAAACTTCTTGATCCAAACAACCTCTTTTGTTGCTTCACTGGCTGCAATGTATTCAGCCTCTGTTGTCGAATCAGCTACTGTGTCTTGCTTCAAACTTTTCCTGCTCACAGAACCTCCATTAAGACAAAACACAAAACCCGATTATGATCATGAGTCATCCTTGTCAGTTTAGAAGCTAGCAACAGTATAACCTTTTATATAAAGCTCTTCCTCCCCTCCATAGACAAGACATTTATCCTTAGTTCTTCTTAAGCACTTAAGGATATTTTTAACCGCAACCCAATGATTTTCACCAAGGTTCGCTTGATACCGACTCGTCATGCTTAAAGCATACGATACATCTGGTCGAGTACATATCATGGCATACATGATAGAACCAATAGCCGAAGCATATAGAATCTTATTCATCCGTTCTTTTTCTTGTGGAGTTGAAGGAAGCATTTCCTTCAAAAGAGAAATGCCATGTCTCATAGGCAAAAATCCTTTCTTGGATTCTTCTATACTGAACATTTTCAGCACTTTGTCTATATATGTACTTTGACTTAGACCTATAAGTCATCTTGATCTATCTCTATAGAACTTAACTCCTAAGATATACGCTGCGTCACCCAAATCTTTCATAGAAAAACAACTACTTAACCATGTCTTAACAGACTGTAAAGTAAGTATATCATTTTCTATGATGAGTATGTCGTCTACGTACAATATTAGGAAATAAACAATGCTCCCACTAGCCTTCTTATAAACACAAGGCTCATCTTCATTCTGATAAAACCAAACTCTTTGATTACATCATTGAAACGAAGATTCCATCTTCGAGAAGCTTGCTTTAGTCTATAAATAGACCTCTGTAGCTTACAAACCTTTCCAGTATTTCCTGGAAAGACAAAACCTTCTGGTTGTGTCATATACATATCCTCTTCAAGTTTTCCATTAAGGAAGGTAGTTTTGATGTCCATTTGCCAGATTTCATAATCATGGAATGCAGCTATTGTGAGTAGGATCCGGATGGACGTAAACATAGCTACAGAGGAGAATGTTTCGTCATAGTCTACACCATGAACTTGTCGAAAACCTTTAGTGACTAATCACCCCTTGTATGTTTTTACATTACCATATATGTCGGTTTTCTTCTTGAAAACCCATTTACACCCTATAGGTGAAAGGAAATAGAAAGATGCCTCAGACGTGACAAATAAACTAACGAGGAATCAAACATGAAGAATAAGGTTAACTTGAAGAGCCATAGGTCATTCATTTAAGAGAATGGGTCAACAAATATAACAAGGATAAACCAGAGAAAATTAATTATGTTTGAAGACATGGAAATAGAGAATGACCAAGGGTTAAACAACTCAAGGTTTGAGCACTCTAATCATCCATCAGGTCAACCAATGGAAGGAGTGGAAATGAACAAATATCATGTTACGATGGAGGATAAGGAGAAAGACGAAATCCAAAAGCAAACCATTAACCAAATGATATCTACAGCTCGGAAGTTTGTGTTACAGACTACAACATCTCAATCTTTGATTAAATCAGTGAAGACAATTTCATGGGGAATAAATTATTTTCGAATTGTTGCCAGCCTCGACATGTAAGAGAATCGACTCCTCCAATCAAACTATGGGGTGGCAAAATAGACACACACACCAAAATGTGGTTAACTGGTAACAAGTATGTCAACCGAAGAGCCAAAAAGGTCTAGTTTTACGAAAGGCACAAGACAACAATCTGGCTCTGATGGCTAAAAATGGCTGGAGGTTGATGACGTACAAAGATAACCAATGGTGCAAGGTATTCAAAGAAAAAGTATTTAGTCAGGGATGGAGCAAAGATTTTAGTTCAAAGGGGTATAGTGTAATTAACAATAGAAAATGAGGAGGCAAAATCAAAATAAATTAAAATTTAAAGGCCCAAATAGGTAATTGTCCCATTATTCTTTAATGATAAAACTTTGGGGTCAAATCAAAATAAATTAAAATTTAAAAGCCTAAATAGTAATTATCCCATTATTCTTTAATAATAAAATTTTTTGGGGGCCCCGCCACCTATGTACCTCCGTCCCTGTATTTAGCATTTACATCAGCCCAGGCATATTCAAACTCTTTGTTAACATGTAAAGGTAAAAAAATGGTGGAACAAGGATGCAAATGGAGGATCAGAATCGAAAATCAAACACGATTTTTGTAAGATTGGTGAGTTGGCAAAAAGCCGCAAAAAAATATCATGTCCTTTAAAGCGATGCAGAAAATAGAACGAAAATGGTGATCAGTGACGGAGCTCTGAAGGCCTAAGGGGCCTCGGTCCTGTTTAAATTTATATATTTGATATAATTTTAGTTTAATAGTATTTTGATTCATGTAAAAATAAATATTTAAATTTTGAAAAACTAAAGAATGATAAGTTTGTGTTATCAAATTTTTGGTCTAATTACAATTTAAGTCATTGTAAGTTTAAATATTAGACAAATTAGAAGTTTTCTTTTGAGTTTTGAGTTTTGATTTTTTTTTTTTAATTTAGGGTGAATACAAGGTAATATATGTACAAAGACTTTTAACTATTTGACAATGAACGCTCGTACCCCTACATAAGTGCTTGAACTAAAGACCTTAAGGATAACAACAATCTCTTAATCACTAAAGTCGCTTGGTTCATGCTGAATTTCGAGTTTAAATACCTAATAAGTCTTTATATTTTTCATAAATAATCTAATATTTTAGCCCCTAAAACCAAAATGGCTATGAGAAATACAACGTGGTCATTCATCAAGGAAGCACAATGGACAAAACCCCCACCAAAGTAAGAATTTTTCTTAATCAATTTCAATTTGTCCCTAAAACTTTTAACCCAAAATTCAGGGTGTGACAATATATATTCATGTTGTTTATATACATTTATTAAATAATTTGAATAATCTAGTTTATAGAAAATTTTGTGTATTTTGTGACATGTTTGTGTTATATTTTCACTATCAAAATAATAAAAATTTATAATAAAAAATATAGCCATTAACTTTTTTTTGTGTATTTTTGTTATATACATATATGATGAAGTAGTTAATCACTTATTTTTCTTGGTATACATGACATATATGAAATAAAACTATAATATTTCGACGGCATTCTTCAACACTATATCCGGTAATTCTTATGGGCAGCCATATAAAACTACTACTTTTACATACTTATCACGACTCGTTTTCGTTAGTAAATCTGCAATGGTATTATGCTCTCCAAAAATATGGACGTCTTATTAAGAATGTGAACCACCTAGAAACTATTCGATTCAATCTCCACTCTTTTATTTTATTGTGTTATATTTATATCACGTTTTGATTTAACCTTATTATATATAGGGTTCGAACATGAATTACCATCTCTTGTAACAGCTAAAATATATGTATTTAATTGATTAAAGATCAAGAATAGCAACTATTCCAAAATAACAATTTCTTACAAAAAATAACACTCGATCAGAAATAAATAATAATAACAGCAAGACATGAATATACGAGTGTCCGGATCGCTAGGTCTAAGTTCATCTTCTTTCTATATTAATTTGGCTATTGAGCTTTTATTTAACAAGAATTTTATATTATGGCCAAGTGTCCTTTGCTATGACCACGGGAGCGAACCTTCATACGGAACAGTCCCACAGTATCTAAACAGACCTTCAATTTCTGGGCATCCATTCGGATATGGAATCGACCTATGGAAAGGATCGCGCCCTACCTTTTTCTTCTTAAGCGATCCCAAACACCCGAATGGATCATTTTGGAACTGAGTCCTCACCAATGTCTCACCTTTCAAAGCCGCTTCTTTCGAAGCTGACGGAGGTGGTGAGCCCTTGTAAAAGAATCGTGACTCTGGAAAGCCAATCGCAGTTCGATGCAAGTTTGCGAATCTCTCTTCCTTGAAATCATAACTCACAACCTGATCCAAATGCAATAGGATACTGAAGAATTTCAATCGAGAATGCGAGGAGCAAGTACATATTGTTGTGAAATTCGGGTTAATTTCCACCAATAACAGATTCACCGTGAAAACTATTATCTAGGTGACTAGTGTGAAAACGATTGTACTAAAAATCACCCCAAGGTAGATTCCCAGGAAAGAGGAGGGGTCACAATGGTCCCTCTTAAAACCCACTTTCCTTAGACAGAACTACCAAGACAAGTAATTTTAATAGGACAATAATTGACAACAACTATACCCGACAATAGCTATTAAATAGACATAAAAGAGAACACCAAAATATTTCACTAATAGAGGAAATATTACAAAGAGAGAAAGAATACAAATAGCCTTTAAAATAGAAGAAGGCTTATATTTGTGGGATGATTAACTAAGGAGGAGGAGGGCTTTATTTATAACAAAAGAATTTCCCCTCCTCCTTATACACAACCAATGTGGGACTTTTGCCAAAAACCAACAAATCTCCACCTTGGCAAATTCCACACACATCTCTAAAAAACAATCTTTTAATTTGTAACAATATTGACCAAATCTAAACAATGTTTAAACTTGACCGCAGTTACCACTTTTGTCAACATATCAGCAGGATTCTCAGTGGTCCGAATCTTCTGGATTATGACTCCACCTTCTTCTAGAATCTCTCGTACAAAGTGATATCGAACATCAATATGCTTCGTCCTTGCATGGTAAACCTGGTTCTTTGCTAAATGAATAGCACTCTGACTGTCACAGTGCACTCTGATGTGCTTTTGTTCTATTCCCAATTCACCAAGCAACCCTTGAAGCCAAATTGCCTCCTTCACAGCCTCTGTAACTGCCATATACTCTGCCTCTGTAGTAGACAAAGCCACTGTTGACTGTAAGGTGGACTTCCAACTGACTGGTGCCTTTGCAAATGTAAACACATAACCAGTAGTTGATCGACGCTTGTCCAAATCACCTGCATAGTCTGAATCACAATACCCAACTACACACTGACCATCTTGTTTGTCCTGCTGAAAGACCAAACCAACATCTACGGTGTTTAGAATATACCGCAGAATCCATTTCACAGCTTGCCAATGCTCCTTTCCAGGATCATGCATATACCTGCTCACAACCCCAATTGCCTGTGAAATATCGGGTCTCGTACACACCATTGCATACATCAAGCTACAAACAGCACTTGCATACGGAACCTTTGACATGTATTCCCGTTCTGCATCATCCTTAGGTGACATGGATGCACCGAGCTTGAAATGAGGAGCAAGAGGTGTACTAACTGGTTTTGACATCTCATTTATGCCAAAACGTTTTAGTACCTTCCTCAGATATTCTTTCTGAGACAAACAAAGCCTCCCCAATTTCTTATCCCTTGATATCTCCATGCCTAGAATCTTCTTCGCTTCACCAAGATCCTTCATCTCAAACTCCCTGTTCAATTGAGTCTTTAGTTTCGCAATTTCTGTCTGACTCCTGGAAGCTATCAGCATATCATCAACATAAAAAGAAGATATATATAGGATCCGTCTTCTAGCTCACGTAAATACACACAATGATCATATTTGCTTCTTGTGTACTTCTGCCCTATCATAAACTTGTCAAATCGCTTGTACCACTGCCTTGGAGATTGCTTCAATCCGTACAACGATTTTTCTAATTTGCACACCATCTCTTCTTTTTCAGCAACTTTGAATCCATCTGGCTGAGTCATGTAGATTTCCTCATCCAAGTCTCCATGTAAAAATGCAGTTTTTACATCCATCTGAACTAGTTCCAAATCCAACTGCGCTACCAAAGCCAACAAAATTCTGATGGAGGAATGTTTTACAACTGGAGAAAATACTTCATTATAATCAACTCCCTCCGTTTGAGCGTAGCCTTTAGCCACCAATCTTGCTTTGTAGCGGATGTTATTCTTGTCAGGAAATCCATCTTTCTTTGCATATACCCACTTGCACCCAATTGCCTTCTTTCCCTTCGGAAGACTAGCTAGTTTCCACGTCTGATTCTTTTGAAGGGATTGCATTTCTTCATTCATGGCAATCCTCCACTTTTTATGTTCTGAACTTTGAACTGCTTCATTAAAAGTGGCAGGAACGTCATCAATTGCAATTGGTGATGCAAAAGAGACCATATCAGCATAACGAGCAGGTTGTCTAATGGTCCTCTTTCCCTTTCTGAGTGCAATTGATTCATGTTGCTGTGGAGGTTCTTGGGTCTGAACCTCTTCTTCATCTGACTCTTCTTCTACCATAGGAGAGTCAACATCATTTTCTTTACTGGTTGGGACAAATTTGCTTCCTTCAAACTCCACCTTTTTGGGAGTTCCATCTGTCTGCTCCAATTTTTCTGAAGTCACCTTTCTCAACATGGTAGATTCATCAAAGGTAACATCCCTGCTGAAGATTATTTTCTTTGTTTCTGGACACCAAAGACGATAGCCTTTCACACCAGAGGTGATCCCCATAAAAATCGCCTTCTTTGCTCTTGGATCCAGCTTTGACTCCTTAACATGGTAGTATGCAGTGGAACCAAACACATGTAAGGAATCATAATCTGTAGCAGGTACTCCAAACCATTTCTCTAATGGTGTTTTACCACCAATAGCAGTCGATGGTAAGCGGTTGACAAGGTGACAAGCATAGACCAAAGCCTCAGCCCAAAATTCTTTGCCTAACCCAGCATTAGACAACATACACCGAACCTTCTCCACTAATGTCCGGTTCATACGCTCTGCCACTCCATTCTGTTGTGGTGTACCTCTGACAGTGAAGTGCCTAACAATACCTTCCTCTTCACAGACTTTCAGAAATGGATCATTTTTGTACTCTCCACCATTGTCTGTACGGAGACGTTTGATTTTTCTGCCTGTTTGAGTCTCCATCATCTTTTTCCATTTAAGGAAAAATCCTAGCACCTCATCCTTTGTCTTCATTGGATACACCCAAACTCTCCGGGAAAAATCATCAACAAAGGTGACATAATAGTGTGTTCCTCCCAATGAAGTTGTCTTGGAAGGCCCCCATACATCTGAATGAACATAATCCAAAATACCTTTAGTATCATGGATTGCTGTTCCAAATTTCACCCTCGTCTTCTTCCCTTTGATGCAATGCTCACAAAAAGCTAATTTGCAAGCCCGAGCACCCTTCAATAATCCTTGATCTATCAGTAATTTCAAGGATTTTTTACCAACATGCCCCAAGCGCATATGCCATAACCTGGTTGCTTCTGACTCCTGTTCATCAGTAGAAGCTGCCACTGCTGCTGTCCCAACAATTGTACTACCCAGAAAGTAATACACATTGTTTCTTTTTCGGATTCCCTTCATTATCACCAGTGCACCAGAGATAATCCTCATAATCCCATCTTTTGCCCTCACTTCTAAACCTTTTGACTCTAAGGTTCCCACAGAGATGAGATTTCTCATTAAATCTGGTACATAATGGACACCTGTTAAGGTTCTGATTGATCCATCCTGATTCCTCAAGCGAATTGAACCAATCCCAAGTGTGTCAAGAGGGGAATTATTTGCTGTGTAGACAATTCCACCTTTTAGTTCTTTAAAATCAAAGAACCATTCTCTATTGGGGGTCATATGGTGGCTACAAGCTGAATCTAACAGCCATGAACTGGAACAGCTGGTTGATGGCGTAGCAGCGAATGCGAAATCTGAATCTCCATCATCATACTCGACCACATTTGATTCTGAGACAGCCTTCCCCCTTTCAGGTTTGCCTTTATTCTTTAGCTTGGGACATTCTTTCTTCCAGTGCCCTTTTTCTCGACAAAAAGCACATTCATCTTTGCTCAATCTGGACTTTGACTTCGATCTCCCTCTGCTTCCTTTATTCTGACTCTTGGAACGGCCTCTAACAACAAGAGCTTCTGCTTCGACACTTGTGTTTTCTTGTTTGTCTTTCTTTCTCAATTCATAACTATACAAGGCAGCAGTTACTTCACTGAGAGACACATCAACCTTCCCATGAAGTAGAGTAGTTTCAAGATACTCAAACTCATCAGGAAGTGATCCCATCAACATCAGAGCCAGATCTTCGTCTTCAAAAGTCACGTCCATATTCATCAGATCAGTCACCAGCTGATTAAAGCTAGTAATGTGATCATTCATAGTGGTACCTGGTACATAGTTGAAGCGGAACAGTCTCTTTTTCATGTAGAGTTTGTTCTGACCGCTTTTCTTCAAAAATTTCTCCTCCAGTGCCTTCCACAATTTACTTGCAGAAGTTTCCTTAGAAAATGCATACTTCTGCTCTCTAGAAAGACACGATCGAATAGTACCACATGCCATTCTATTGATCCTCTTCCATTCTTTCTCCTCAACATCATCTGGTTTCTCTCCTTCAATAGCAATGTCTAGACCCTGCTGAAATAGGGCATCTAGAACCTCGCTTTGCCACATGCCGAAATGACCGGTGCCATCAAAAATCTCCACTGCAAATCTAACATTTGTCACAGCATTTCTTGCCAAAATTGAAGATGAAGAAGCGTCTGCCATTTCTGCTACAAATTCTATTTAATAGCTGCCAATGCAGAATGTCAATTATCCCAAGGAAATTTTTCTGATGTGGAAGATCAGCCTAAGCCGCAACCACAGAGCATACTAAAATAAACCAAGAGCTCTGATACCAATTGTTGTGAAATTCGGGTTAATTTCCACCAATAACAGATTCACCGTGAAAACTATTATCTAGGTGACTAGTGTGAAAACGATTGTACTAAAAATCACCCCAAGGTAGATTCCCAGGAAAGAGGAGGGGTCACAATGGTCCCTCTTAAAACCCACTTTCCTTAGACAGAACTACCAAGACAAGTAATTTTAATAGGACAATAATTGACAACAACTATACCCGACAATAGCTATTAAATAGACATAAAAGAGAACACCAAAATATTTCACTAATAGAGGAAATATTACAAAGAGAGAAAGAATACAAATAGCCTTTAAAATAGAAGAAGGCTTATATTTGTGGGATGATTAACTAAGGAGGAGGAGGGCTTTATTTATAACAAAAGAATTTCCCCTCCTCCTTATACACAACCAATGTGGGACTTTTGCCAAAAACCAACACATATCATGAAAAACTTGAGATAACATGTATTAGGTTCATGAACTTATTTCTTACATCCATGGTGCCATGGATGACGAACTCGACCGTTTAATCTTTCACCTTATCGAAACACTATCGAAATTCGGAATGGATCAAGTAGGATATGCTTACAGTTATGTTCTGTGGGTATGTCCCGGTAAGCTCTCGAAACCGGCAAACACTAAAGAGAAGATTTTCAAAGCTATCTCTTGCATGCTCCTCTGTTAATGCCCTCCACTTCACACTTTCTTCCTTCCCTGAAAACCAGTTGAATATAAGAACGACGCTCGGAATCTCAGATGATTTGAAACTGTAATGTTGTTTCTACACGAAAGAGGCAAGCTCATAGAACTTAACAGAGAGTGGAACTCTCACTGTTGAGCTAAAATGGTTGCAGATTTGGATTCAAGGGGTTGCAATCTTATGGCAGCACATGAGAACATTCAAGTATCTAATAACCATAAATGTTGCATAAACACTCTTCAAATCGATAAACTTGATATTTCTAAGAACAAATATATATGAAGAAATGAATGCAATAATTTTAACTAGTCCAAGGCATGCAAACGGAAAAATGGGTGAATTTAATTGATAAATTTAATATTTATATTAAATTCATATTTCTTTTTACTATTCCAAATTATAAGATTTTTTTAATTTAAATATTAGTAGGATAATTACTTTTTAAATATGTCAAATTAAAAAGATATTTGTTATCTATTTAATTTTGAATATTAAAGATAATTATATACTTTTGAATATTTAAAATTAAAAGATATTATTATATGTTTAAATTTGGATATTAAAAGATATCTGATTAGATTAAATCTCGCTTGGAGATCTCCTATAAATACTGAGTTAACCAACTAGGTTAAACACAAGTTTTTCATATTTCAGAAATAAAAAAAAAACTTGAAAAAAATTTCTTCCACTAGTTTTCCAGTGATAGACGAAGGAAATGATATATCATGATATCTATTGTTGTGCTACTGTAGTTGATCATCTAGTTGTTGTATCATGTGAGACAGACGACCAACGAACTTGAGCACCAAAGGAGTGGTTGAAAATTTGTCTTAAGGAAACTACGTAACAGCAGACCTCAATTATTTCTGATCACAAGATCAAAATAAATATTTTTCTTTCTATTTAATTTTGATTTATTTTAAGAATTTTAACTTCCTTGTTTGATTTTATCAGGTTTGATTTCTTCTCATATTGTTATTTCGAATAACAATCTCAAGACAGAGTAAACTCGTTCTATCCCTTTGATTTTATAATGATATTTTTATCATTATTATTTTCTATATTATTCTCATATTACTGCACGATTTTTCTAACAATCTTAAGACAAATTTTATTTAATTTTCTTATTTTCCAAGATGATATAGAATTCGTTTGAGTTTAATCCTTGTTGTGTACAGAGAAAGTGCCAAAAATTCGACAAAACAAATATTGGGCGAAAAATCAAGAGTGGTTTACGCTAAAGATAAGTTTCCTTTAATTTTGAATTTATAAATTTCAAATTCTTTGTGGAATAATTTTGAGTTTAATTTTTAATGTGAGAAGTGGTTCCAAGGGATTCAAATAATTGGATTCCAAAATCTTTACAAGATCTTTGTGATTGTGTACTTTGTGGGGCACACCTTGAATCTTCATGGTTTAAGATTTTTATTAACAATAGTGAAGTTAATAATGATCAAGAATTCAAGTTTCCTTTAATTTTGAATCAAGAGTACTTTACGCTAAAGATAAGTTTCCTTTAATTTTGAATTTATAAATTTCAAATTATTTGTGAAATAAGTCTAAGTTTAATTTTTAATGCTAGACATGGTTCCACTATTTTCTGTGTAGAGATTCAAATAATTGAATTCCAAAATCTTTATAAAATCTTTGTGATTGTGAGCTTTTGTGGGGGCACACCTTAAATCTTGAAGATTTAAGTATTTATTAACAATGGTGAAGTTAATAATGATGATCAAGAATTCAAGTTTCGGTTGACAACGATGAGGTCAATTAGGTAAGTGAAATTTGAATATTCCCTTTAATCTAAAATGATTCGGAAGTCTTTCTTCTACCTTACTTTAATCTAAAACGATTCAGATATCGTGGTAAAAACAAGACAGTGAATAAATTTATTTAAGGATTTATCATGCAGTTTTAATGGGTTTTCAAAAATCACAAAGTGGACAAATTTATATAACATAAATTATCGTGAAAGTAACTTTGGTTACCGATTTTGTTTCAAAATTTTGATCTTTCCGATAACAAAATAAAAAATAAACGAGAATTAAATTTTTGCTTATTGGAATCTTTAATTTCGTATTTGAAATCGATGGGATTTTAATTCTATCGTGTAACATAATTTTTTGATTTCTATAGAAATCGTTGGAAAATAACAACTCTGCTACCGATTTATTTCAGGATTTTAGTTCATGACTAAATTATGCTGATAGAATAAATCAAAATTTAATTTTGGCTTATTGTTGGAATTATTATTAATTCTAATTTTGTGAGTTAGACGAAATCATGATTTTTACGGTCATGAGCCACACTGAAAAACTTGTAAAATTCTATGGATAGAATTTCGAGATGTGACAATATAAGATGTTTTATTTGACCATGTTAAATTTGACCAAATATCGGATGATCCTTATATTATTAGAGAAGATGCGGTAAACGTTTTTACCGCATTCACTATTGTTAAAGTTTAAAAGTAATATGACTTACTATATTGGAATTTGGAAATACATCTTGAATGTATTATCGGATACATTATATAAGGTGTATAGTATCCATAAGATAAAAAATTATGGATACAAAACGGAAGATGTTGGTACTAATAATTGTTAGTGATCAAGTTCTTAAAATTCATAATGATGGCATACACGAGGGAGAGTAAATATTTTATTACCCCCATTGATGATATCAAAAGTATTGTTATGTGTATTTGTTAAAAAGAGCAAAAATGAAGTTATAGAAAAATTTGTTTTTTATAAAATGAAGTTGAAAATCAACTTAAAAGATTAAGATGATAGAAAGTGACAGTGCACAACATGATATTATTTATAAAGTGACATCATTATACTCTCCTAAAATAAATGGAGTAGCAAAGCAAAAAATTGAACCGTAAAAGAAACAATGAACGCAATGCTAAGAAGTTCTAGGTTGTCACAAAACGTGTGGGGGATGATAAGTTATTGTGTCAACTAATTACCTTTTAACCTCAGGAAAGAAAAAGGACAAGATACTATATGAGTTATGAAAAGATTGAAAACATGTGTCATACAAACACTTAAAAATGTGAGTGTCTGGAAAAGGTAATGACCACATTACCAAAATAAATGAAATAGGTCCAAAAATAAATGAGAATGATAGACCGATGCTAATTGAAATTTGAAATTCAAGATATCAACGACACAAGTGAATATGTTTCACATTGGAAGAAGAAATCGTGTCATATAAATCCTTAAAAAAAGGTTATAACCAGATTCATAAATGAATTTGAGTTTGTAACTCTATATAAGTTTGGAGAATAAGCTGAATAACTTTAGAATTTCTTAAAGGATATTCTCGAATGGTCGGAACATGTGCCCACAGTATGCATATACTGTGACTAGCATAGAATTTCAAGTATAATGGTAAGTCGAGGCATATGTGTCGTCGACATAATATCATAGACAACTGATCTCAAATGGAGTTATCTCTGTTGATTTTGTAAAATCAAAGGATAACATTGTGGATCTGCTAACCAAAGAATTAAATTAAGATGAAGTTAAGAAAAATATCTAAAGAAATATACTATAGCCCATGAAATTTAAAGGCTTTATGTGAAGGAAAACCCTACCTAGTTGACTAGAGATCCTAAGATCTAGTTTCAAAGGGACAACCTAATTGTATAAACCTTGTACGGTCAATGTGGGGGTTTCTTATCCCAGGTTCGTTCCTACGGAGTAAACAATAATTAAAGTGATATAGACTAAGCAAGGCTTTTAATGATCATTGTGTGATTTGGTAAGCCGAGCAACATAAGTTATCTATGTGAGAGCGAAGTGAGACCGCTTCAAGGAGACTGTTGAGGATAGTTCTTTCAAACTCTTGTAGAACCAGACAGATGTCCATGGCTTTAAGGATATACCCATGAAAACTAAATTGTTATTAGAGGGGCAGTTGTGTGAAGTATGTCATTGTTTACACAAACGATAAAACAGTTCAAAGACATCGCATCTACAATTTAGTTTGTTGTAACATAAGAGACAGACGACCAACGAACTCGAGCACAACTGTTTTCGATCACAAGGTCAAAATAAAAAGAGTTTTTCTTTCTATTTAATTTTAATTTATTTTAAGAAGTTTAACTTCTTTGTTTGATTTTCTCAGGTTTGATTTCGTCTCATATTATTGTTTCGAATAACGTTTTCAATAGAGAGTAATCTCGTCCTATCCCTCTAATTTTATAAATATTTTTATCATTATTATTTTCTCTATTATTCTAGGATTAATACGCAAATTTTCAAACAAGAACAACATATAACCAGAAAAATGGAGAACTGAACAAGTGAACATACCAAACCATCTTTCCAATTCAGCAACTGTCCAATAACTTTGAGCCTCGCTCCGAGGACCGGCATCCTTTCGAGTCTCTCCGCCGCTAAATAGAAGCAAAGCTGCATCGTCCCGAGCGGTGTTTTCGACCCCTCCCTTTATGTGACTAAAAAATGTAGCAGCTTGTCCGGGATTCTTCTGGTACGACTCCAAAAACCAAGAATCTTCCTTATCAACCTTTCCACAAGTAGTACTAGTATAAACCGAATGCGTAGCAACCATTACAAGATTCTTAAGCTTGGCATACGGATAGTAATTACCGAATCCATCATCGAGTTTCCCATAATTTCTCAGCATCCAATCGTGGTGCTCATTTAGAGAGAGAACTATGATGATTGTGACCACAAATGCCAATGAAACAAAGAAAACAAGGAATGGATGTAACTTGTAATAGTTATGAAGCGTGTCAGCCAAGGACTTAATCCATCTAACAGGGTAAAACGATGAATTTCTAACCCTTTTGCTTCTTTTGATATTACCAGATTCGATATCAAAGTCGCCCCTTGGATATGCATTGAAGGACTTTGGACTATTTGACCCAAATGGATAATTATTCATCAGAACAGAAATACAGCTCAAAAGCTTCGAGATTTATGTGAATAAAGCATACTCAAAGAGGCAGTTCAGCAGATTATCGAGTAAAGATCACGAATTTCGATTCAATTCGACAATCCCAAAGGACAAACTACTTAAAAAGAAAAGATCTCGATCATCAAAGTTGCATCTTAGGAAATTAGAAATGAATCTTTAAGAAAGAATTTTCATCATCAAAGCAGAGGTAGAAAAAGTAAACTCACCAAAAACCCTGGCAGAATGGAAAAGAATCAGATCCAGAAATTCAGAGTTTGCTTACTAAAAATAAAAATGTCAGAGATGGTGAAGGGGAAGATGTCTGAGAACTGGAACTGAATTATTGGGTTTTTCCATTTGAAGCCCAAATGGTAAACTGTTTGTTTCGGCCGTTTATCATTGGAAAAGCCCAAACCTATAATTTTAAAATGTCAGATATTGGAGGTTTTGCTGTCACTGAGATTCAACCTTTTATGGTTTCGATTCGTTAAAAAAATTAAGATATTGTAGATTTAAGATAAGTTCGAAAATAAAAGATGCATTACTCATATCTTAACTCTTAAAATGATGTAGTTTCCATAAATTGAGCCAACTCATATTCTAAATAAGTATATTGAAGAGGGAATACAAAAGAATACAGTATATGTAAGGATTACTATAAAAAAATTGGAAAAAGTTGCTTCAACTTAAAAAATTCCAAACCCAGAATGATCAAAGGAACCCCAATCTTCATTTATTAAGTTTGCAGAAAACTTTAGTTGACCATCCACTGGAAATGACTTCAATTGTTGCATTTGCCATTCAAAGTCTGCTGTTGTTGCAGTAACATCATGGCCGGTCCACAAACCGTCCAGTAACACCACTTGATCTTCGGCTGCTAACAAACTTTGTAACCCGAACGCCTCGATCTCATCGATTTCTGGCATTTCTCGAAGCCTGTAAGGCTCCTGAATTGAATGAACATCCGGTTTCTGGCACTCCATTGATGAATTGTTATCTTCATTCGGCTCAGGCTGATCAAAACTTGAGTTTTGGTTCAAGAAGTTGGTGAAAACAACTGCTAGATCGATATCCGATCGATTCCCTGAATCCTCATTAGAAGAAGAACTACTCGAATTCTTACAACAAGTCATCGAAGCTAGACCTCTTTTCTAGACTCTTTCGCCGATGGACTTCCCTCGTCGTCTCTTCCAACATCCGCCGCCGATGGGTACGTTCCTTAGGGAACTGCCTTTAGTCCAGTACCTTCTGCAGCCCTTGCAGAAGTACCTACGCTGAGACAAACTATATTTGTTGTAATAACAGAATTTGGTGTTGGGAGAGGCACAACGGGGACAATTGGGAGCAATTTCAACGTTGGATTTCCACTTGCTCTCCATAGGCAACATTGGATCACACTGCAACATCTGTTGGTCAGTAACCATGAACAGTTTCTTTTGTTGCTTTGTAAGAATAATTGCTTTTTAATAAAATTTTGGGGGGAGAGAGATCTAGATTAGTGGAGATGGCATGTGTGACAGGAAGAATGTAAGAAGTGTAAGGTGTATAAATATGCATATATAAATGTTGTGAGTATGTATATATGGCGTTGATGGTGCAAAAACGTGGGCGGTTGGCGAGCCGTAGGGAGATGGAAGTGAGCGTAGGTGTGGTGTGGGTTATCTCTAGTTTTTAGTGCTGCGTATGATCGGTTGTGATGGGGTTGAGTGTGTTTGGAGGTTGATTTATTAACGTGGATTTATTTTTATTATTAAGTGCATGATGTCCTTGGTTGATTATTAGTGGACAATTAATTTAAAAAATTGTTTATGCTAATGATAATATTATATAATGTTGATTTTATTTTTATCTTTTTATAATATTTAATTAAAACAATAAAATCTACTTATCTAAGGATCAAATTTAGATCTAGTAAAGTCAACTAAGTTTGTTGTTACTAGGTTTCTTCTGAGATTGCTTATTCCTTTTTTATTTATTTATTTATTTATTTTTGAATGAAAGAGGAATGAACTAAACTATATCACAGCACTATAACCAGTGTCATTGTATTTTTAGATATTTTCTCTTCTTAATAAAACTAACCACTTTCTAAAAAAACAAAGTTTTTTGTTACTAACAAGGGAGTTCATTTTAATCCTTGTTGATATTAAATTTTAGATTCGATAATAGTCTATTTCTCTTCCCTTATAAGAAAAATTATGTTCAGTAATGTTATATATAATTTCGTATCACTCCAACTATGATTATTATTGAAAAATATATTTTTTTAGTATAAAACATTCTTCAGACATATAATATGTTTGACAAAATCTGATATCGCGCGAATATTGAAATTACAATAATATTTACTATTATTTGAAAATAAGTATCAACTGAATTAGTATTCAATTAATTCATGACACTGACTTAACTAAGGATTTAATATATAATGTCTAGGTTCGAGTCTCACTTTCATTCATGTATGAATTTTTTCAGTTAGCTTTGATTCTAATTAACATAATTGTTGGATTAATTACATAATTTTAATGATAATTTTTTAGTCTTAATCGTTGCTACAGTAGAATGTTATAATTTAAAAAAAGCATGAATTTTTTATAATTGTAAAATTTTAATTCTTAATTAATTATCTTTTTGAAATAAAAATATATATAATTAATTCTACTTAAATTTAAAATGTTAAATTTTATTTTAATTGATATAATATTTTAAAACTCGTAAATTTATGTATATTTTAATACATAATTACTTTTTCTTGAATAGTTTGGAATGATTATGACATAATATATGTTCATAACTTTCTTAACTTATTAACAACGCACATAAACCTTGCAAACGTCGTTATTCAAACCCAGAATCTATAGAACTTCCCTACGAGAAGGAAGAGAAGTGCTCGTATTAGGTCTAGAACCCATGACCTAAAAGAATATGAGCAAACAAAGATGAGCAGTTTAACCAACCGATTAAATGTACTTACTTTAATAAATTAAATGATAAAGTACACAAATGGTCCCACAACTATAGAATATTACTTTATTGAGTCTCTTGACTATTAAAAGTTACAAAATGATCCCTCAACTATAGGGAGTTACTTTGTTGAGTCCCTCGACTATTAAAAGTTAAAAATGGTCACTTGGTTATTCATTATGTTCCAAACTCGTTCTTTTCCGTTAAAAAAATAATAGTCATCTGAGTTGGATGTTAACATACTAATTGAGATATGATACTCATTTGAGATTTTAAGATTAGACTTTATTATATCTCAGTCAGTATGTTAACATACAACTCAGACTGTCGTTAAATTTTTAATAGAAAATGACGGGTTTAGAATATAATTAATAGTCAGGTGACCATTTTATAACTTTTAATAGTCAAATGACTCAAAAAAGAACCTCCTAGTCAAATGATCATTTTGTAACTTTTAATAATCATATATCTTAATAAAGCAATATCCAAGAAATCATTTATTTACTTTATCTTGAATTAAAAGTTAATAAATTATAACAGTTACACATTATATATAAAAACTCTACTTAAATTTACAATCTTAAAAATTGTCTACAATAAATTTATACCAATAATAAATTAATAGTAAATCACGATGGATCTTAAAATTTATTTAATGAAATTATTATTGTAATTGGAAAATTTGTAGGTGTACAGTCTAACCGTCCACATGGGTAGCAATTTTATAAGAAGAAAAGAAGGCATCATGGACGGTAGTTTTGCTATAAGGCATCTTAATATGAGGTTAAAAAAATAGCATTATTAAAAATGTTATTAGTTTTTTAATATTTTTGATAAAATGTTATTTAAAATATTATTTTTTATCGAAAATATTAATTTCGTTCTTTAATTTTCTGTAAAAAAATCAATAGGTAAAATAATATTTTATGTAATATCTAATATTAATATTTTTAGTAAAAAAACAAAATTTTAAGTAATATTTTACCAAAAATGCACGTTTCCTTACCGTGCAGAAGACATCCCTCCTTGGACAGACTATTTGAAGTATGAATTTTAAATGCAGTGTACTTTACACTGCAAAAATATAACCTTTGGATTTGATGTTTGCACGTGCATTCATGGATACGTGTCCTCAATACCTATAAATTTATTGTATTTTGTGTTTTTAATTCATTACTATAATATATTTATTAAAAGTTTAATTTGTTGTGTTCGACTAATTGTATTATATATTTGGGTAAATTACGTGTTTAACATTTAACTAATATTTTTGATCTATTTTAATACCTAAACTTTTAAAATTTTCAAAATCATACCTGTAGCTTTGTTTTTATTTTATTTTAGTACCCGTTCAAAATTTAACGTTAAATTTTGAAAAAATAACTGAAAGTTCAAGTACTAAAACGGATCAAAAGTGATGGTTTAAGTACTAAAAGAGTTAAAGTTTTTAACAGTGGGATACTAAAATGAAAGAAAAACTAAACGTTAGATATGATTTTAAAAATATTGAAAGCTTAGGTATTAAAATAGATCAAAACTAATATTTTAGGTACTAAATACATAGTTTACCCTATAATTTTATATTGTGCTAAAAATCATCGAATTTATACTGTTTAATTAATTCAACATCAATGAATGGTAACCATGAGGGTGTGTTTGATTCACAGAATGTAAGATTACCAGTGGGAATAGATTACCAGCAGGAATAAGATTACTGGGAATGTTGTATTTTGTGTTTGGTTCGTTTAACAGGAATGTAAGATTACAGTGTTAGGTTAAAGGAATAAAAGATTATTGGAATATATATTTTACCAAATTGTCCTTATTATATATTTGTTGTTTTTTTAACAAGTTGAATTCTACTGTAATTAATTTATATATTTTCTTTAAAAATTTTAAATTCATGAAATTTATATAATTTTCTTTACAAAATTAAAAAGATAAATAGGTTTAATGAAAGGGTAAAATTTTATTTTAACACCTGAACTTCATATAAAATTCTAATTATGGACTTTTTTGTAAATCTAAAATAGTTTAAGGATAAATTTGTAATTTAACCTTCGTAAAATTTTTATTATTTAATGACAGAAGAAATATATTTTTGAAATTTTTTAAGGGCATTTTAGTCTTAAACGCCGTTAATCCAACAATATCTAAGGGAATGGGTAATCACATTCCCGGTAATATACCCCAAAAATACCACTGTTGGGAATAAAAGATTATCAGAGAATAGGATTACTGGCAAACCAAATGGGGACATTCCATTCCTCCGGTAATCCCATATTACCTGAACCAAACAGCTCCTGAAAAAATCTCAAAGAACATATGGGATAGCTAACATAACATCAACA